ACTGACAGAAATATTCTACCAGTGCTGCGCAGGCACGATACCCGTGTGTGGTTGTAGGGAAGGGACCTCTTTCCACACAAAGTTGATCCGCGCCGCCTAAGAATAAGAAAACAAAAAATAATAAAGCGTAGTTTAAAACAAAAATCGGCAGAGACACTTAAGACTGCTTACTTGTAGGAATGCAAAAGCATTCCTACACACAGCGCATTCCTACAAGCAGCGAGCCACGTCTTCCTTTTGCACACGGCGCTCCGGTGGTGACGTCACGCTCCCCCACTGCGCAGGCGCCGCGAACCCCGCCGGCTTCACGACGGCTTCCGTGACGATGCATCTGCGTGGCTCTGCTTTTCTTCGTGTTTCATTTCTGAGGCGCGTCCGCTTTGACCTTAAGCGGCCCCGCCGGCTTTCGTGACGAAGCATCTGATATGACGCGTCGCCGCCAATGGGAATTTAGCTGCCGTTTCGCTGCTACTGCCACCGGCTTCGCTCCATGAAACGGTTGGTGCGTTAAAAAGAGAGAAATGAAAGGAATTTAGAAATAAGGAAGGCGAGGGTAGAAGAGGCGACTTACTAAATTTTCCGGCCCGGGACACGCAGGACACCTATCTATGGGAAGCAGGGACCGAAATGTTATATTGCTTCGCCCGGGGAGCCCGAGAGGGTCTAAAACTCTAAACATACCCCGGCTCAGCTCAACTACATAGATCAACTTTTTCCCAGACTCGTGTTAAGTCACAAACAGCCAGGCGTGGCTAGGTTAACCCACATGGCTCGGTGTTCGTAATGGAGCCACTCACGAAACACCTACTAACACAGACGCAAGTGACCCTGAGGGTGAGTCACTTGCGTCTGTTATTCACACACCCACCCTCAGCTGGCTGGGCAGCCACCCACAGCTGGCCTGAGGGTGGCTGGGTCCGTGGTGACGCCACTCCCTAAGCACCTAACACCTAAGATGTAGCTGCCCCCTTCGGGGGTTTGTTCTGATAGAAAAGAACTTGGGTCTCGTTAAGATAACGTTGTAAGATTGGACTGTACTTTGTCGTTTCTAATCGTCCTCCACATTTGAGAGAACACCATTTCTCAAGTTTGGAGGCGCCCATCCGTTTATTGCTCTTTCAGAAACGCCAGAATATTTATTTCCCTAGTTGAATGGATCGTAAACAATTGACACACTTCATGAAGCGACAGTTGATTAATATAAATTCTAAACATATAACACAGGTCTCGTCAGATGACACAGTGGAATGCTGTTTAACGAGACGTTGTTGCATATACATCTAATCACTTATAATATAAAGACATGGGGAAAGCGGAAGAAATAGCTCCAGGCTCACCCGCAAATGTTAGACCACCGCTCCGCGCGCGACCAATTGCTGGGATGCGTTGTATTCAATTGTGTTGAATGTTTTCTTTCGAAATATCACACTGACATTAAGTAAAACAACATCTTCCTAATCCATCATCTTATACTTGGCATGCTTGCGGACTCTCTGGGTAATAACAACGCGAATAATACAGTTTACAATGGGAATTGACATTTGAAATTCGGGGCATAAAACTTTCATTTTGACATTTGAAATGTTTGTTTACATTGAGTTGTTCTAATATGTTTGCCGTATTGCTCATCTCGCTATATATTTGGGTTTCTTTTAAGCAAGATAGCCATTCAGGTGAGTGAAAATTTTGGAGCTTAAGATGTCGCACGTCCTTCTGTGGATTTCTTTTTTCGCAATTTGGACGGGAGTTCATGATGCCTCTGGTAAGTTTGTTTAGTTCAATTTTATTTTCCTCCCCATTTGTATACATTTGGCAGTACTACTACGGTAAAACTTAGGTCATATAGCATGCAAACGAATAACTAATAACTAGTATGAAATAATGAGATCATAAAAAAGGACTCCGCTTCAAGTGGAAGGAAAAAGAAAAAGAGTCATAGCAGAATGACGGGTAATCACACTACTACTAAACATTACTCGGTGCATTAAACTTGCAATCAATCTGTTTAAAAATAATAAAGAAATTATTAAACAAATTAAGAAACAGGGAATCGTTTTTTTTTTTGTCCATGGTAAAGGCTGCATTTTAAGCGTTTTATTTTTTAGTTACGTTAGTTTGTCACGCAATGTAGATTCAAAGGGAGAAGTTCATTCCCGTTTCCTGAAGGAAGTCCAGAAGGGAACGGTGGTGCGGGCCATGTGTTCAGCTTTGATATTCCGGCGGCTGTTTAGGATGAAGGACGAACCCGCTGAGATGGCGCTAAAGGGTCGCTTGGATGCCCGGCACATCTAGAGGACGTGCTCTCGATCCGCCCCTAGCACATTCCGAGCACACTCTGAACCTGCCCGTGCTTTCAGTTAGCCGCGTATGTAATACAAAGTGGCCTTTAGTTGACAGCGTACGCAACCTGATTTGGTGATGTCCGGGTATAAAAAAAAGTAATGGTGCATGAAATGCAGATTCTGCGAACGACAGTTTCAATTGTTTGGAAGTCATTAAACAGTGGTTCCGGGAGTTAAGAACCTATATTTTGTTTATTACTGGGCGTCGATTAAAATTTAACCCCTTACTTCGACACTCCTTAATCAATTATTAATTGATCATTTGGCCTTGTTTATTCCTAATAACAATATGAAAAAATTGTTGCCTTTTAGAGCACAGCTCTTAGGCGCCCGTTTCCGGCTTGAGCGTCGTCGGCGTCGGCGTCGGCGTCGCCGTCGGCGTAACTGCGCGGGGCATTATGGGTAACTTTCCTTGCTAAATGTAGCAGAAAAGTTTCCCCGCTAAATTTTGCGAAAAAATTTCCTCGCTAAATCTAGTTGAAAAATTTCCCCGCTAAATTTAGCGGAAAAATTTCCTCGCTACATTTAGCAAAAAAATTTTCCCGCTAAATCTAGCTGAAAACTTTCCCCACTAAATTTAGCGGAAAAATTTCCCCGCTAAACTTTGCGGAAAAATTTCGCCGCTAAATCTTCCGGAAACATTTCCCGCTAAATTCAGCGGAAAAATTTCCCCGCTAAATCTAGCGGAAAAATTTCCCCGCTAAATCTAGCGGAACGATTTCCCCGCTAAATTTAGCGGAAAAATTTCTTCGCTCTATCTAGTGGAAAAGATTTTCGCTAAATTTAGCGAAAAAAATTTCCTCGCTAAATTTAGCAAAAACATTTTCCCGCTAAATCTAGCTGAAAACTTTCCCCACTAAATTTCGCGGAAAAATTTCCCCGCTAAATTTTGCGGAAAAATTTCGCCGCTAAATCTACCGGAAACATTTCCCGCTAAATTCAGCGGAAAAATTTCTCCGCTAAATCTAGCGGAACGATTTCCCCGCTAAATTTAGTGGAAAATTTCCCCGCTAAATTTAGCGAAAATTTTCCCCGCCAAATTTAGCGGAAAAATTTCCCCACTAAATTCAGCGGAAAAATTTTCTCAATAAATTTAGCAGAAAATTTTCTACGAAATGGGAGGCGAGCAGGAGAGGAGGTGGGGCATAGCCTCCTCTCCGTACCTTCCCCTCCTCCTCCTCAAGAGCTGCGCTCTAATTCGGCATTCCAGGAAGTGGAAAACGGCTTTAATTTTTTTTATTAGTGACAAAGGGCACAATATACAATTTTGATTTCAAATCAACCTCAATGAGTAGTTGATAACAGTTCATATCAACCTCGATGAGTTGTTGATAACAGTTCACACTCACGCTAAAATTATTACTTCGCCTGCCTCAGGCCGATATTCGTTGATATTCTACTGCAAGGGCGACCTCCTTGGTTGTTCAAAAAAGTCTGCTGTTCACAACAGTTTATGCTGCGCTAACAGGACACTCGAACGGCGTTGAAGTGGCCGGAACACGGGTAACCTTCTGCAATTGTCTGGAGTTGCAAAGCACGCCCATACAGTTTAGTCTAGACTGAAAGTTTATCTAAGGTTTGCCCTTCGTGCTGTTGTACTTTTCCACGTCTGCGCGGTAAATACGTTTAATTTTTGCTTTTTTTTTTTTGTTTCCTCAAAATTTTATTGTTCAGAGTTAATCGTAGCAAAAACATTAAATGAATAATCGGCCGTTAATCGATCAATTAATTGCCCAATCATTTTTTTTTTATTTTTGGGGGAAGCTGAATTGAGAGGGAATCAATGGCTGACACTGTTAACGCACCACAGCTTGGAGCACGTAGAGCGAAAGCTCGCTCTCCTGTACTCAGGGATCGTGGGTTGAATCCAAACTTGCGCCCGTTACTTGAAAAATGTAGTGCATTACAATTGCATATTACGAAGCCTCAAATGAAATGTATTACGGTTAAACATTACTGATTCTGAATTGCATGCTCATTGCGCTCTAGTTTCTGTATAATACTCATATTCTTAAAGACTAGAGTGGTTAATATAATCACTTTTCAATATCTTGTATTGAAAATATATTACAAATAACTGCCGCGCGAAGTAAAATGCCAGTCACAAAATTACTTCAAAAAGGAACAGATTACAAGAAATCCGCTACTTGTAACGGCTTACTTTCCAAGTATAATTGAATCCCAAGGCCTATTCGTTTCGATCTGGATGAGTGTCGTACCGGTGAGCGGTCTTGTATCACTACTGCGTGGTTCACATTAACCTGGCAATCGTACTGGCTAAATTTCTCATCTACAACTGAGGCACCCGACGCCCACTGTGGCCAACTTCCGGCTATACACACTAACAATACGTATTAAAACTGAATTGGTGTTCACGTGACTGGGCAGGAAGAAGGGAGGCAAATTGGGAGGAAGGGTATACAGAACGGGGAAGGAAAAAAGGAGAGGGTAGGGAGGGGTAGGGCGGAAGATGGAGAGGGGAAGAGAGCACAGTAGGAGGTTGAGGCATGGTATTTGGAAAGGGAGCGAAAGAGAAAGGAGAGAGAGGAATCGGGGAAGGAATCGGTGTGTCGTATGGCGTACATTTCTCCGCTAAATTGAACGGTGAAACTAATTTTATATGTCAAACAACTAAGTGATGGAGGGTATTGTATGAGAATGGGGAAAGAAGGGAAGCCTTATGGAGGTAGGTTGGAAGAAGGGGAAGCGAGGAGAAAGAAGGCAGATGGGGGACATCTTTGGAGGGGGTAGGTATGGGGAGAGAAACGGAGGGGAAGGGAGGAGAGGGGTAAGGGGAAGAGATCGGTGTGTCACGCGACGTATATTTCCCCTCTAAGTGGTATAGAAAATTAGAGTTCTAGTTTATCCCAGATTCCCCCGACCTTGACTCTTTCAAAATAAAAAAAATATATTTAAGAACTTCGACTGTTATGAAAAAAAAAATATAAGACCATATCTTGTTAATAAACCATTAGCAGTATATCTCCCCCTTCATGTAAACTAGATGGTAATACGGAACACCGTTGCTTAAACCTTCCTTTATTCATATTCTGTTTCGCCGTATTCGGTTTCTTCTGGACTCTCAGTTTTATTTATTTTTTTGTGATTGATTTTTTTCTGCTTGCTTCAGAGAAACGAACACGATAAGTCTATATTAGAAACTAGCTATATTAAAGAAACGTTTTTGATTTAGTTAAAACCATTTTAAGAAGTCTAAAAATGTTTCTTATTAGTGGAGTACATAATAAAATATTTTTCACTGAAGGAACTCTATCCTCTGGCTAAGAATTTAAGGTAATATGATCTGGGAGGGCTGGTTGGTTGTCCATCATGAGGATATATCGCGTAAAACAACAAGGAAGGATACACAAGGGAGACAGGATGAGCGCTAACTGACAACTCGCGTTTTCATACAGTTTAAACAAAAATGAGAAGAATGAAGTTCCAGATGCTATAGCGTAAAAGAAAGAGTAAAAAGAATATCCTCAAAGTCATTTGTTATACCTTTTAAAATTAAAGATAACGAACAGAAAAAAAGGAAACAAAAATCTATGAATTTATTAGAAACGATGACTAAGAATACTCTGAACCCTTTCATTCTGTGTTTAGCTATGATTTATTCGATAAACCAAAACAAAAACAAAAAGACTAAAAGAAGACATATGAAGTGTACCTGTGCTCAGTGAATTAATCCATCCTACAATTACATGCATGAACAGAATTCAAAAGGAAATGAACGGAATTAAAAAGGACATTTTTGCATGAATTGTTTTATTCTACAAATGAACTACTGGAACTTACGAGAAACAGGAATTTATATTCCAACTGATGAACATTATCATTTTCAAATTGTTAGAAATTCAAACGACACTTATAAAATCTCGAAACGAAATAGAACTGTTGTGCTCCAACACCATGTTTTCCGAAAGTATTTCAATGCAGACTAAAGATTGTTAAAAGTTACGATACGAATCGCAATGATGCCGTTATTGTTACATTTGTTAATGAGACTGGTGCGAATGCATTTTTCGAGCTTAGATTAACTGTTAATAATAAAGAAATCAAACATCTTTTTTTTTTTCCTCAAATCAGTTCAACGATCGCCAAATTCATCCCGTGCTCAGATGGTGTCTCAAGGTCTCCAGCCACATCCTAGTTTTGGTATCCAGACACGTTTGAAACGCATGAACTAAACAAATACAAAGTCATCGTAGATGCCCTGAACAGTGTTACTGGTGTTAAAGTAAACCGAAGAGATATGAAATATCCAAAAACTTAAAGATTGCAGAAGTGTTTGTTAAAGTCGAAGATCTAATAAGTTTTCTTTTTCAGAATTGATAAAGTATTTTAAGAAATGAGATTTGAGCAAACTCTAACCAAAATAAATACACTGACAGGTTAAGTAACACTGGAGAAAGTAACAAAGTTCTGTTTGACAGGCTATTGTGAAAGTTTTCAAAGTTAAGACCAAATTTGGAAACTCGATTTCTCGTAACCGAACAATTAAAGAGCAATGAGATTGTATCCTACGAATGGGAAAGTTCTAAAACATCTAGAACATTAGATTTTTTTAAGGCAGTTAAAACCTCTAGAACAATGAATTTTTTAATGAAAAAATTGTAAGGGTGCAGGCGAGCTGGTGGAAGTTAACCATAGTTTTGTTTAACCCGAGACTGGGGTATTTCGGAAAAGGGACGAGAAGAAAAGAGGCCACAAGGAGGCGACGTCTCAAGCAGAATACACCATAGATTTTAGAGGAATATTGTATAAACTAAAATATATTTATATTGATTTCTGAAACTTTTCTAGAATCAATTCTTCAATTGGAATCAATATGTTTTCATAATTTAAACCTGGAAAATATCAATGTAGAAGTAAACACCCATACATTTTTTTTTCAATTTGTTGTGATTTCAAACTCGCCAATTTCGTTATTGATCACTTTTAGAAGCCGGATTTAAAACTGTAGATGCAAATACCGGGACAGTTGTAACAAAACGAACATATGCAGGTCTTTACCCAATATTCTGTTTCGAAGCTACAAATATGCCTACGAATGCATTCGAAAATGTTTACACATCTCTACGTAAATGTTAAACCTCGAAGTAATCCGGCTACAGGATGGTAAAATTTTGGTATTTGTGGTTCCGTTAAAAATAATTTCATGCTTTAATATCCGGTTGTTCCGAAATAACGGCTTGCGAAGATATTGATACTTTACTCGCCCTTGTATGAGTTTCGAAGTCGCATACTATTGAATAAATAGCCGTCGCACTAACCGGTGGGCAGCTCTTGTAAAAGTAGCTTCTGCTTGAGTAATATTTGATACTCAATTATACACTTCATAGCACACAAAAGACATTCGACTGAAATTGGTTCATATCTGTGCACTAACTCGGGTTTTTAAAAGTCTATTTTGTGCATGGTATTAAGCGGTGCCGCATGAATTTCAGTCATGCGCAAGAAGGTGTAGGAAATAAAAATTAATGAAACTAACTTCCAAGTAAGCCTTCCAGATGTACTTTGGGCCATTTTTTTTTTATCGGCGGCCAGCCTACAGTAGAACAAATAAAGAACATTTTCAGAGGCTCATGTCATCTAGTTGCGAGTGAGACAATTTTCTGAGTAAGCCATTGCTTGGGCACACACGCTGAGCATGTTTTGGAAGCAAAAGCTGAATCAGTGTTCGACGTGAGTTCAGCTCAGCTCGTATCAAGAATGCTGCTTGATGGTGTTTGGCACAGGGCTTATTGTTCCATCAATATTTTCTTTTTTTCCTCCTAGGATTCGGGAGAAGAAGGCTTGTGTACCCACGTCTAATAGAGGCTCGAAATTACGGCAGTCAGCTAACGCTGTTTATCAATGAAGAGATTACTTTATCACTGGGACCAGCGGATATTTTTCCGGAGACGTTTTTGTTGCAGTATGACGAAGGGGCAAGCCGGGTGATACATAATGTGAGAGTTTTTTTGTTTTTTTTATCTTGCAGCATAAAATCTAAAAAATTCGGAAGAACATACAGTTGAATTATATCTTCTTCCTCGTTTCAGATGAATGGAACGGAGCTTAACAAAATGGTATATCATGACACGGACCAAAGGGCGGCCGTATCTGTCGAAAGAGATAAAGGACTGCGTGTGGTAATGACGAAATATTTCTTTGGGATATTTTCAATGTGAATTCGTGAAAAGTAGTACTACATAATTAAGCTAAGCGTAACCATTCTTCAAGACGAGATGCAGAAGCAGCAAAAATTCCGAAACTTATTTTAGAAAATCGCTAATTAATTTAATAGAAAAGTGAATGTAAGAAAAAAAATCCTAAATATAATCCTTGCAAATCAAAGCAATAAAATAAATATGGCGTTCTCTTTTCGTTTCCATATATATATATATATATATATATGGAAACGAAAAGAGAACAAAATATTTATTTTATTGCTTTATATATATATATATATATATATTCCTCACCTATTAACGCTGAACTAGAGTCATTTTATGTGTTTTTCAGGGAGGCGTTCCATAGTTACTCAATTGAGGAAAACTGGCTCCGTTTTAAAAATAGGTTATCATTCCTTGCGAATAAATACGTGCCTCTGGTGAACATCAAGACAGATAGTCAGAACCCCTGGTATACTAAAGCAATCAAGCGACTAGCCAATAAAAAAAAAGATTATTCAAGCGTGCTAAACAGAAGCCCTTAAACAAAGAGATACAAAGTGAATATGAAGAATGCGAAAAATGATATAGATATGAAATTACAAAAGCCAAATCAAAATTTTACGGTACCGACCTATTACAAGTATTAACCGACAAACCCAAACAGTTCTGGAACGTAATCAATCCTAAGCCGTTCACCCCTCTTGCTCTCACATATGACGAAGGTCTAGTTCTCTCCGACGACCAGTGTGCTGATTGCCTAAACAACTTTTTTTGTTCCGTGTTCACTAACGAAAATCTTAACAACATTCCGCTACTTCCGGCCCTTATTCATCCGTCCATGGAAACCATTGCCATCGACTATTCTGGAGTTATCAACGCAATTGAAAATCTTAAACTTTCCTCGAGTTCTGGCGATGACCTCATCAACTCAAAAATATTAAAAAATACGAAGCATGCATCATCTCTGTTTTTAACCGACATTTTTCTTGAATCCCTTTCGACAGGTATCTTCCCTCATGACTGGAAAATTAGCCGCGTCATCCCCATACATAATTCTGGAAACCGAAATTCACCCTTAAATTATCGCCCAATATCACTGACCAGCATTCCTTCGAAAATCTTGGAACATATTGTCATGCGAGACCCAACTCCTCGAATTTGTACATAACATTCATTCTAATTTCGAACATAAACAACAAACTGACGCTATCTTTCTTGACTTTTCGAAGGCCTTCGATAGAGTATCACATAACCGCCTTATAATGAAACTTCACCAATTAAAAATTGACCACTTTGTTATTACTTCGATTTCTGAATTTCTTTCTGATCGCTATCAATATACCGTTGTTGATAACTCAGCATCAGCCAAAATGAGCGTAACATCTGGCGTTCCTCAAGGGAGCGTGCTCGGACCACTCCTTTTTTTTAATCTACATCAATGACCTCCCTCTTTGTGTTTCTTCGACCATCCGTCTTTTCGCAGACGACTCGGTAATCTACCGTATTATCTCGAGCACCAGCGACCACTCATCCCTGCAAGCTGACTTGCCATCCACTGCAAAATGGTGTGATAATTGGCAGATGTCACTAAACCTAGATAAATGCAAAGTACTCACCTTTTCTCGTCTTTTGTCCCCGTCTTCTTATAACTACAGCATTAACGATATTATTCTCGGTTCATTTTCACCTTACAAATATCTTGGTCTTCATATAACCAGCGATCTGACATGGACCACCCACGTCAATCACATTGTTGCTAAGCCAAACAGCACACTCGGTTTTCTCCGACGGAACTAAAGACTCGCACCCCCTAAAGTAAAACAAATTGCATATCTAACATTAGTACGCCCAAAACTAGAATATGTTGCATCCATATGGTCTCCGGGGCAAACTTATCTGAAAGACGAACTAGAACGTGTCCAAAGAAGAGCATTACGATTTATTTATTCTGATTATTCTTTTCACACAAGTTTGTCTGAACTACGTAAACGAGCAAACTTCCCTGAACTCACTTTAAGGTGGAAAATATTTCGTTTGACACAGTTTTACAAGATTTACCACCATAACCCAACAATTAGAAATAAACTATTTTTTCCTCCCACTTCTTTTTTTCCGAGATTAGATAACAGCTGTAAAATACAACCCATATATGCATCCACGACTTCTTACGCTAGCTCTTTCATACCTTTTACAATTAATGAATGGAACGCTTTGCCTAACAGCATAGTCACAGCTCACATTATAGATGTATTTAAAAAAGTGCTAGGCGAAGTTTTAGAATCCACAATGAACTAGCACTTTTTAGTGCTAGTTCATAAGTGTATTCGAATACACATAAGTGTATTCGAACTTTTTGTCATGTTTTGTTTGAATATTTTGTTGATTCTTTTTGTTTTATTGTTCATGAGTGTATATGCTTTATATCCTTTTCTTATTATCCTACAAATATGAGGTGCCCATCCCTTGTATAATGCCCTGTTTTAGGGCCTTCAAGGTACTAATAAATAAATAAATATATATACATATAGAAAGAGAGATGAAAAAAAAAACGTAGCTCAGGATGACGAAAAGTATATACGGCAGAAAACGCACTTCAGACGGTTGTTGGAGTTTTTAAAACATATTATACGAAGAATATGTTTTAAGAACTCCAACAACCATCTCAAGTGCGTTTTCTGCCGAATATATATATATATATATATATATATATATATATATATATATATATATATATATATATATATATATATATATATATATATATATATATATATATATATATATATATATATATAGGTGAGGAAGAGTTGTACGATAGTTTCGCCGAGAGGCTCGGATTTGTCAGGAGATGGCATACATGTATGCCATCTCCTGATGAAGCCGAGCCTCTCGGCGAAACTGTCGTAATATACACAATAAACTTCTAGCATAGCAACTCCGAAAGAACGCGTCTTTGACTTATTATATATATATATATATATATATATATATATATATATATATATATTAGTTTTTCACACGATATTTATAAAAAATTAAACTTTAGTGTTTTTTTGTTTTTTTTTTTCAGTCAGTGCGGTGCGGAATAGTTGAAGCGTTTATGATGCTTCCGTTGCTTGTGTTATTGTGAACAGTGTGCGAGTATTAGAGAGTTTTAGTATCGCGTGTAGGAGCAAACGGACGCACTGTGTGTTTGCGAAAGTGCTGCATACTCCACGTTATTTATACGCCATACGCACGCCGCGCAGCGAGCTGGGCGAACGTACGCATGCTATCGATTTTTGCGTGCGTACGTAGCGTCACTCTACGTGACCTTCTCGTTGCTCCCTTCGCGCGCTAGAGAGCGCTAGACTGTCAGATTAAAAAACGAGATACATACCTGTAATAGTATTTTTAAACGAAACAAGACAACAAAAAAAGGCCTATTTAGAGGCGCCACCCGGGAGAGAGATGCACAGCATTTAGGTAGCGTTGGTATTCGCGGCATCAGATTGGCCTGACCCAATTCTGGATTTGGATTGCTCGAAGCAGTTTTCGAGGACACATTTAGATGACCTTGCAACTGCAGGCTCGCGTATGCAGTGTATGCGCTTGAGCTTCAGTCTATTTAAGTTACTAGTTTAAACTGCTCTGCAGCGTTTCACTGAGGGCTTCAGTGCATCGTATACCCAGTGCTGACGCAGGGGTAATTCTGCTATTCTGAAACAATGTATTAAAATAGCTTCTCTCAGCACGATGCTGACAAGAAAACACTAAAATTACCATAAGAAAGAATAGCAACCTAAAGGTTTGTGATTGGCGTAAAATGCATAACTTTACAAATTTGTAAAATAGGACTTTGTATATGACACTAGAATCCAAAATATTCTGATGATAACGACACACGCACAAAAAAGTAAAGACGCAGCAGATATTGAGTGTTAATTTAGCAAGGACCTAAAATTCACTCGTCATCTACATCGCTATTACTTTAAATATTATTAATTATACCAATGTAGCTTTCCAAATTTCTATAACAATAACGCCCTTTTTTGCATAACAGTAAGTTTAGAAAGTGCCCGCTCACCAATTACTACGGCCGCTCGATTCTCCTATGCGGTCCCGTTCCGTACACTCGAAACTGACAACCCGCCGAGGTGCGCGTTTCTTCAGAAGCGGAAGCTGGTCAAACTGTCAAATCTGGGCAGCAAAAGGCAGATGGTACTACGTTTCAAAACACTCATGAATTCACGAAACTTTGATTGGCAGGCTTGAATCTCATCATTTGCCTGAACAGAACCACTGAAGACACCAATGTACTATCGGGGAAAAATTAAATGCGAGCAGAGGAGCGCGTGGCTCGCGGTACAGGCTGCGCCGCCTGGAAGGGAGTCCAGAGGCGAGGGTGCGTGGCCTACTCTGACGTGCTTACGCCCTGCCGCTCGGCGCTCCCCAAGCTTCGGCAATCTGCCACCGCTATCTCTGCTCGCTCGGCGCGATTACTCGCACTATGCTTTTTTTCACTTTGATCGTTCACCAGCTCGCCTGCGAGTATCAATTATTTCATTCATTCAAAGAAGACAGTCATGGACCCATTCTTGGCAAAGGAAAATTTTCTGATAAAAGACAAGTTAATGAAAAAATATAGCGCAATTATGTCATTATAAGTAATGGAAGCGAAAACCGTAAATCATTGCTAGATGGCTCATAGGTCCATGGCGTGTCTACTGTTTACAATGTAGAAACTTATAAATAAACACTAATATTTATTTCCGCAAAAGAGGAGGGGTCTTTTTTAGGGCTTCGAGTTTATCTGGCTTACTGCATCACATGACGCAAAAAGACCAAAAGGCTTTGTGTAGAAACACTGCCCACTAATGCTATGTATCTACTAGTTTCATAAAGTAAATTACTGCTTCTCTCCTATTCACAGCATGGAATTATCCGCGATTCACTACGTATAAGACCAGTTATTATTGTAGAGCGATCTAGTGCCGGACACATTGCACACGAAATTTTTAGTGTTGATGAGCACTTTTCAAATACACGGGACGATTGTGAGTAAATCATTCCATAATTTTAATGTTAGTGGTTATGTCCAATTTTGAATTATGTGTTCATAATTACAGGTGCATAGAAAATCAAAACTTGAGATTATATGTCTGTCCTCTATGTTACACCTGAGGTATAGCTGTTATAGTTTTACACAGTGTGTCTTTGACTTTTATAAGATTAACATATTTGTTTAAAAAACGCCGTGAAAGCAACATTTATGCAGCTTCATTCAGGTGAGTTTATACGGCCAGGGATCACAATAGAGAGGGCTAATCGTAAGGATCAGTCGGCTATTTGACTAGAAATGGTAATTAACTCCTTAATCAGTAAAAATAGCCACATGGCTTCAATCATAAACTTGCTGAGCGTCATCAAAAACCAATAAATTAGTATTTTAGAAAGACTTCGAGCGCGTCCGAAGCGCAGTAGTGCTCTGAGGTTAGCACGCGTGCAGCAGGAGCAGGGCTAGCGATGCGATAACGACCCCGAGCGATTTTGTCGTCTTATATCATAGCCCCAGCCTTGTACCTGTTGCACGAGTAACACCTTCAGCGCACCACTACGCTTCCCACGTGCTACATGATTTATACAACTTGATTTAAGGAGTTTTGACGACGCTCAGAAGTTTCGAAGTTGAGCGAGATATCTTTTTGCACTAAGAAGTTCATTAACACATTTTATTAATTAGCCGACTGATCGCTACAATTAGACTTTTATACTATCTTCCCCTGGCCGTATAACTCGCCTGCACGAACAACAGAAGTGTATTTTTTACGGCTTAAGAAAACACCCTGAATATACAGGATTCAATATAAAAAAGAAAGAACAAAATTTAAGAACAAAATTAAGTTATCTTTTTATTTGTGCAACTCAATGTATAAGAGGTTTGGAACCAATTATATCTGATCAAAATAGAATTAAATAATTTCATATCAAGAAGAGAAAACAAGCCAGGGCCTACAAAAGAAGAAACCTGAATTATAGGCGGGCCTTTATTGTATATATATATATATATACAACACGGGCACTTCACACCATCGTACGTGGTCTCCGAGGACGATATAAACGAACATATGTACATGAATGAACCGTACTTAATCTAATGCATCAAAGAATCAAAGTTTTCAGGAACTCGCCGAAAGCCAAAAAACGGCGGAGCCAGGATTTGAACTCTGGGCCTTCCAATGTCCGGTCCGTTATAGAGCTTAGCACACCTGACCGGACATTGGAGGCCCAGAATTCGAATCCTGGCTCCGCCATTTTTTGGCTTTCGGTTGCTTCCTGAAAACTTCGATTCTTTGATTTATTGGATTAACTACGTTTCGTTCACCTGCATATGTTTGTTTATATATACATATATATAATGGGAATGAGTGAAAATTGACAAGTGCAGCCGTAGTAATATTGTGAACGAAGAGGGGAGAAGGTAATTATTGAATTTATTGCATTAAAGTTAGGGAAAGGGAAAGAGAGCTGGCCAATGGCACGCACGACATAATTTTAGGATGGCATTTATTAGCCGACCGACGGGCATTTATTAACTGTTGCACACGCACACTTCTCCTTAACGAAAAGCAAATGACGCTTCCACATTTCGACAACAATCTGTACCTTTCCGCGCAGTGAATCACACACGGATAGCAACATTTACTCAAGCTATCGTACAATTGGCATAATGTGTGACAGACGACACCTACATGGTGGAACCAAATCGTGAAGTGTTATTTCAGAAGGGACTTGCTCTACCCATAACGAATGTAACGTGCACTGTTTACGCAACCACGGTTTTTTATAGGAAATACCACTAAAATTGCTCGATATTTGTCAGCTGGTACCTGACTGGCGTTCACAAAAATTAACAACGTAGAGTATGTTAATAGTGTCAGTTATCAAATGTAACCCCGATATCTCTGAATGATCATTGGAACGCCTTCAAGTTCTTTCGGAAAACAAATTAGCACTGATTTGCCACCACAGCTGCAGGATACCCTACACAAACTATTATGCTTCTTCATTGATTTTTTTTTATTTTAGCTCTTAATCTCTGGCTTCAACATCTGCTGTTCTATATCGATATCGAACAGCAGATCAGACAGAAGTTTCGATACTAGAACTAAAAGGCCCATACGCAGCCGTCCGTATCGAGTTACACGTTCAGAACGAGAAGTCATCAGGAGCCGTGGGAGTGACATGTTACAAAAAATATAATAGTAGAATCTGAAAGTCCCTGGTCTTCTCCCATATTGCTTGTGAAAGAAAATATGGCACATGGCGTTTTTGTGTTGACTACAGACGATCCAACAAAATTACCAAAAAAGATGTCTATCCCCTACCCCGAATTCATAATGCCCTCGATACGCTACATTACGCCAACTATTTTTCGTCGATTGCATGCGCTCAGGCAATTGGAAAATTAGCGTTGACAAAAAATATCGAGAAAAAACAGCTTTCGTCACGACTGATGGACTTTGCCAGTTTGGAGTCATGCCTTTTGGCTTATGCAATGCTCCTGCAACTTTCGAACGTATGATATATTCACTTCTACGCAGCTTGCGCTGGAAAATCCGTCTGTGCTACTTGGATGCAGTGTCGTCTTTTCGAACACTTTTCTTAAACATTCATCTCGATGACAACTCTTTTAGAATGCTTCCGAAACGCCGGCCTCAAACTCCACTCTAAAATGTGTCTTTTTGGTACAAGAGAAATCAAAATTCTTCGACATGTCATCAGCCGTCACGGAATATCACCAGACCCTGAGAAACTCCGCGCTGTTTCTTATTTTCCACGCCCCATAGTAGTTAAGGCACTGCGCTAATTTTTTGGAATTTGTTGATATTTCCAAAGATTTATTCACGGATTTGCTGTCATTTCTTCTCCTTTAAACGCTCTCTTCAAGAAAGATTGACCTTTCGTATGGTCTCAAGATCAAGAGGATGCATTCGCAACCCTGAAGTCCGCACTGACCACCTAGCCAGTCTTGGCATATTTTTACTCTGATCTTGACATCAAAATTCACACCGATGCAAGCATTTATGAACTTGGTGCTGTACTGATGCAGAAGCAAGACGCTCGAGAACATGTTGTCCCATGTGCGAGCTGAACTTTGTTCTACGAAGAGGTCGAGTACTCCATCACTGAAAAAGAATGTCTTGCCGTAACTTAGGCCATCAGCAAGTTTACACCTTATATATTTTGTCGTCCATTTACAGCATTTCATAATCAGCACTTTTTGTGCTGATTATGAAATGAAATATCCTCCGGACATTTGGGATGGTGGGCACTAAAACTCCAAAAATACGACGTCTCCGTATTCCATAAGTCTGGAAAACAACACGACGCGTTTGACTGCTTATCTCCAGAGTTCCATCTCACCATTCTTAAAAACTCCCTCTTCTGCCGTTGCCGCAATTGCTTTTGCCTATAGCTTGGATTTTGCTCTGGATCCACACTTGCAACGAATTTTTAACTGCCTAAAAAAAAAAAACTTCTTTTATTATTAACAATGGCTTGTTGGCCTCTGCAATGCAGAACAACATACTGTATCGTCGCAAGATATCTCCGTATTGTCACAAGACATCTACTGTATCGTTCCAAGACATCTCCGACCTGATACATTAGATGCTCTACACGATGACCCCACTGCTGGAAACCTGGGCTTTATTAAAACTTCCATGCGTGTGCGTAATACCTTCTACTGGCACGGCAAGTTACGCGACATCCCCAAGTACGTAGCATCATGCGTCCAATGTCAGTGACCAAAAAGGTCAATAACCGCACCAGCTGGGCTTCTACATCCTTTCGATCCACCTCACTGCCTATTTGAACGCATCGATATCGACCTGTTGGGGCCCTTTTCTCTTACACACAACGGCAACCACTAGGTCTTTGTTGCCATGGACCATTTTTCACGTTATGAAAAGGCCGCTGCCTTAGCGTCCACGAATTCGGACGAAGTCGACACATTTTTCTTGCACATCATTTTGCGACACGGCCCCCTTCGTCACATACTCAGCGATTGAGGCACAGTATTTCTTTCCCAGGTGATACAGAAACTATTACATCTTTGTGGGACCATTCATAAACCGATAAACCGACAACAGCATATCATCCACAAATGGCTTGGTGGAACTTTTTAATCGCACCATTGCCGATATGATTTTCATGTGCGTCCAGTCTGACCAACACCAATGGGATGTTTTCCTTTCATTCGTGCCTTACGCATACAACACTGCCGTTCAAGACACTCACGGCTATTCTTCATAGTATATTTTCCATAATCACCCTCCTACGACATTTTTGGACACGCTCTTGCCTTAACGTCAAGATGACGAACTTCCCAACACTGTAGCACATCTTGTGTGTCGTGCTGAAGGGGGGCATCAACTTGCCGGGCTACGCACAGGTACATCAAAGCAACGCCAATGCCGACGGTATGACAAGACTCACCGCCACGTTTCCGACGAAATAGGGGACCATGTCGTACTCTGGACGCCTCACCGTCACCAGGGCTTAGATACCAAGTTCCTCCACCACTACATCGGTCCTTACGTACTCCTCCGCAAGCTGTCCGAAATCTCATATCACGTGCAATTACAGCAAAATACTACTGACAGACACCGAGCAACCTCCGATGTAGTCCACGTCGCCCGTATGAAGACCAAAACCCCCTGACCCGGCGGCTAAGACCACCGCCATCCTCGTTACTTAATACAAGTCATGAGCCATTCCACTCTGTGAAGGTGGATGGCCAGCGAAGCTCCTTAGCACACGACACAGATGTGACACTTACATTTTAACAAATGCACGAACACATTTATTGCCTTGATCGATGGCCATCGTGACGAAAGGTGCGCCCACAGATGTCGAGGACTATCGCCGCCCCGAGGGCGGTGCAAGCGTGGACATGGCCTGAGTTTTTGTTGACGCGCACGAAGACTGCGCGGAACCCAGTAGGCACGCGAGACGGGACCGCCACCCCGGGGAAGGAAAGAAAATGTGGTACGCTAGCACTTGGAACGACGACAAAGAGAGGGCGGCGCGAGCCTAGACATGGCCTGACTTTTAATGCGAAAGAATTAACTGTCTCATTGAGCGAGCTGATGTCATCAGTTTGAAGTGCGAAAACGGCACCTAGTTTCCTTCGGTTCCATTGGCTGGCGCGCGCCGACGCGCCTCCCATCGGCCGCTGCAATCGTCAGTTTCCACGACCGCTCACCCCATGGCTCCGCGTGTCCATCAGCGCGCCATTAACACAGACCGTCCAACGTCACCTAGACCAGAGGCGCACCCGCACTGACCGGCGACGAAAAGTATGCAGCAGACGGAAAAGGAAGCGGACGAGCGGCGTACATGGTTTTGCATTCAAACCTCATAAGGAGTGCTTAGGTTATACTCGAGATTTTGTTGACGCAAACGAAAAATGCACAGAACCCTAACCATTCACAACTTCGCTGTAAAAAAAAAAATAATATTAATTGTTTTTTTTTTTGTTTTTTTTTTTTGCGGTCGGGACGACGGCGCAATAAGGGATGGAAAGGGGGGGGGGGGGGTAATGCTAACTAGAAGACGTAAAAGAGCGCGTCTAAAAAATGGTTAGGGCGCGCGACAGCTCGAGCTGAGCCAGGCAGTTCGAAATAAAAGCAAAAATTAAAAATGAAGAAACTCAATTCTTACTAAAAACAACTCTGTTAAGACGGATACACCTCTAACAAAGAAAACACACACACACATATATATATATATATATATACAGGGTGTTTCAGAGAACGCAGGCCAAATCGCTCCTGCGAAAACTACTTATCGCAACAAAAAAAGGCTTGTGGCGTTTTGGTCCGGGGCCACGGCCCCATTTGGGAAAATTATTAAAGTCGGGGATAATAAGCTCTTAATTATTTTTGCGTAATTAACATTTTAATATTGTGCTTAAGGGCATGGTTTAAATTCGAAAATTACTCAGCATCATCGAAAAACACTAAACCAACAAATTGCAGAACGATAAAAGGCACGCGAAGCATTTTACGACTTTTCGAAAAAACACACAAAATCGACGGGTTTTTAAGTTTCGGTTTGCTTTCGGAGCACATATCAGCCCCGGCGGCGCCGCGCCCCGTGGAGAGATAGTGCAACCAACCTCTGCTGCGTCGCGCGATGACAGCGCAGCAGAGGTTGGTTGCACTCTTTCTTCGCGGGGTGCGGTACCGCCGAGGCTGAGATGCGCTCCGATAGCAAACCGAAACTTAAAAACCTGTCGATTTTGTGTGGTTTTTCAAAAAGTCGTAAAATGCTTCGCGTGCTTTCTATCGTACTGCAATTTGTAGATTTAGTGTTTTTCGATGATACTGAGTAATTTTCGAATTTAAACCAAGCCCTTAAGCACGATATTAAAAAGTTAATTACGCAAAAATAATTAAGAGCTTATTATCCCCGACTTTAATAATTTTCCCGAATGGGGCCGTGGCCCCGGACCAAAACGCCACAAGCCTTTTTTCGCTGCGATAAGTAGTTTTCGCAGGAGCGATTTGGCCTGCGTCCTCTGAAACACCCTGTATATATATATATATATATATATATATATATATATATATATATATATATATATATATATGGTGTTTTTTTAAGCTTTACAGATTTAGTTGAGAGTCCAGTGAAAGTTAGACTTAAATCAGATAATTATATAATATTCGTTTTTTAACTTTCTAATTACGGAAAGTAGACATATGGTTTCAGTTAGAAACTTACTGACCGTCATCGAAAACCACTAAATCAACTCTTTTTAAAACGACTTGAAGATCGTGGGAAATTTGGGTGCGCACCCAAGTTACCACTCGAGCAGTAGGCGCAAAGCTAGCATTGGCAGAACGCGTTTATAATCTAATCATCTGCGTTCCGCTACTGCTAGCTTTGCGCCTGCTGCACGAATGGTAACTTTGGTGCGCCCCCAATTTTTTCCCATGGGCTTCAAATCGTTCTAAAAAGAGTTGATATAGTGGTTTTCGATGACGGTCAGGAAGTTTCTAACTGAAACCATACGTGTATTTTCACTAAATAAAAAGTTAATTAACGAATTTTAATTAATTAACCGACTCAGAGTAAAGAATTGCCAACCATATAATGTCCCCCTGGTCGCATAACTCACCTGCACCAATCGGATAAGTGTAACATTAACGCCTTTTTAGACAAATCTATAAAGCTTAAACAATACCCTATTAATATTTGTTTTGTTAGATGTGTATTTGTTATAAGAGATCTGCTTTCAGTAGGAATTGGATGTCTTAGTTTTTACTATTGGACCCTCATTTCAGCTTCTGTAATGAGTAAGAGCTTTTGAAATTAATATATAATTTTGTTTATGTGTATTCTTCTATTTTCTTTTTTTATCCCTAATTGTTATCAAAGCACAACAGTGCTATGGTTTGGGTTGTAATTTAATTTTCAAGGTATACGCTCAGGCATATATGCACTCTCTCATTTTTTTTTATGAACAACATGGCAGAACAATGAAATTAGAGCCTGTATATACATTTTATTTTCTAGTGAGAAGTGAGAACTAAAATGGAATAGAAATAAAATTCACCGCTACCTTTGCCTCTAAACTGTATAAGGTTTAGGCCAATTCAGAAATATACTTCAGATAGTGTCTGATATTCTAAACCATTATTGATAAACACTGCGTAGATCTTGAAGTTCCACCACTTCAGCCAGCTCAACTCATCAAGGAAAGGAGTATAACAGGTAAGGTGCATGTGGCCTATAAGACTTGGCACCTCACTTGACTGGCACTGTTCATCAGTCAATCGTTCGCATACTAAAAAAAGCACATTAAAAGCAATAATTTCCAACCCGCCCTAGTTCCCAGCACGGTGAGGCCTGAAATAATGATGTTGGTGGATACTACGAGGAACAAGAATCTAAAAAGACCCATAAAGGTGGCACTTTACGCAGGCGTACTTATGGCTTCTGTAAGTACTTCTGCCATACACTTTATACCCGCGCTGCGTGGAACGGATTGTCAATGGCTAATCTTGTCATGTTTGGTTTTCGGCCAATTATTTCTGGCAAGATTCTAAAATGTCAAACGTTGGCGAAAAACTTGCCAGCATACATTAAATCTAATCATACAATTAGTTCACTTTAATACTGACCTTGCGTTGTTCGTTATAAACAGTGGAGAAATACGACGGGTACCATTCTTCTATACGTATGGTGTGCTTACTTCTCTACCTTTACCTGTACGGTGATCGTTCTGGTTTACAGTCTCAAAAGGTACAAAAGCGCCGAAAACAATAAGGAAAAAAACAAAGTAAGACAAACACACGGCTCACTCGTAACAGTAATTCGTTTCGCACTCGCAATGGTAATGTTGTTTCAGGCGCTTTTATATCTTTTAAGACCCTAAACCAACTGCCTTAAGTAACCACCTTGCTGCTTTAAAGTTCACGCATTATAAAATCTAAGCGATTGTGGAAGAGAAATTTGTTTTAAAAAGCAATGCAGCCTGTCCATCGCATCTGGTCTAAGCGAAGGAATGAACATCCATGCAGCCTCCGAATTTATTGCTCTGTACAAGGCGCATATGGAGCACGGTGTCTTTCCATTGCCAATTACATTTCGCGTGTTTTGTTACGCTGAAGCACCTAGAAAGCGAATTCTTTTTATCCTTTAGCTCTCAGGAATATGTATTTCCGTAAGGCCCTGTCACACTGAGGCAACACGACGGCAACCGCAACACAACACGTTCTCCAACAGTCGGACAACTTGTTGCTCGCTCCCCGTGTTGTCCGACAAACCTGTCACATCGCGGCAACAGCAGAATAAAATGAAGGACAACGAAAATGTTGCTCGGTATGACAGCTTTTGGCAACAAAAACAGCAGCAACTTGATTTGGACAACGCGTGTTGCCCTAATCGCTGGCTGAGCGAATTTCGAGCCGGCAACACGACGACACAAATAGCTTCGATGGCAGAGCTAGTTGCCTATCAAGAACGTCTTACTCGCATAAATGTTTGGAAAAGGTTATTGAACAATAATTAAGTCTGGCGTGCAGCTAAAATAATGTGATGAATGTTTTTACTGCGTAGTAACGAAAAGAGATTGTCGCAATGGTCATAGCTACGGTCGTGAACGTTCAGACTGGTGTTGAAATTAGAACTTCTGACAGACCAGCTCACATTACTGCTAGTGAAATAAAATGGCATGTCTACTCGCCCGCTGATAGAGTATAATAAAAAGAAACCAGGAAAGCGAAGATTCGTAACTCTAAGCATTAAAACGATCACCCATGTGATGATTGTCGATGCTAAGAACTTGGAAACAGCCGCTCCAGACACCTGATTTGTTTCAAAAATACTCAGGACGTTTTGGGGAATGAAGCGATCACATAGCAGGCGGTAGGCAACTAGAAAGCGTTGAAAAGATATTTATTCCACCGACTGGTATGAAGGTCGATCTTGTCGGTGTCGCAGTTTTCAAGCACTGACAGTTCAGCTCAACAAAAGGCTATAAAAGAGGCTTTGGGGTACTGCCAGTGCTAACTAAATTTTTCAGTAGAAATAGGAGTTGAACGAAAGAATGAACCGGACAGAAACATTTCATACGGTGGCGTAAATCCCGAACTTATATCAGCGATTTCACTTTCCTCGGTTAGGGCTATTTGCTTTGTCAGCGAATGAAGAACATTCGGATAAAATAAAGGGTGGAAAATACTCCCCATGTCATTTTTTCTAACCACAGTCACTGGTTGTTGCCGTACCGTGGTCATTTCCGACACTTCGAAAGCACTAGCACTTTGTACAGTCACAATTCCAGCGTCGCCGCGCCGCACTTGAACGAAGGTAAACAATCAAGATGGCGGAGTGTTTACCGTGTTGTCCTCGCCGTCAGCGCGGTGTGACAGGGTTGTCGGACAACAAATCGGGCAACACGGTTGCCGGGCGGCAGCAACACGTTGCCCGACTGTTGTTGTTGCCGCGATGTGACAGGGTCACCGGCAACACGACTTTCTCGTGTTGCCGGATAGAGTTGTCCAAGTGTTGCCTCGGTGTGACAGGGCCTTAAGCGAGGTGTGACAGGGTGGTCGGACAACAAATCGGCCAACTCGGTTGCCGGGAGGCAGCAACATGTTGCCCGACTGTTGTGGTTGCCGCGATGTGAAAGGGTCGCCGGCAACACGATTTCCTCGTGTTGCCGAATAGAGTTTTCCAACTGTAGCCTTAGTGCGACAGGGTCTTTATAGAAGTGTTTGCCTGTCCGTATCGTTTATTCTTCCTTTCTCAGCTGTTTCTTCTGTTTAAGCTTTCATTGACGTTTTAGTCGTTTGAAAACGATTTTGGCAATTACATTTATCTCTGTTCCACCGCGTACAAAACATAACTGTTACTTGTTTAGTGGTTATTCGGGCATTTATATTGCTACCACACTTTAGAACGTATCACACCAGCCCACTTGTGTCGTTACTCACAAAAGAGTTGTATATTCTAGGCTTAATTTGGACGTTACGTTTATTACCCCATCCTCTATTCTTGACATGAGGAAACGCTCTTCATACCTGCCCTCGTTTAAGAACCTACTACGTTGATGTCCATAGGAGCGCTGGCGTACCCAGATGATTCAAGTACCCATTAACAGCGGGAACTAAAAGGACGATTTAAAGAGACGGAATTATATCCGAACATAACAATATATGTAAGACATACTTGATTTTAACGAGTAAACTAATTCAATCAATCTTAAAAATTGCGTATTGAACAGAAATATTTACGATTGAGTTTGGACTGCGTTACTTTTAGGAATCTTTTCAGAAACAATATATTCCGGACATCAAAGCGACCTTAAAGTTTGATGAGCATTTCATCATTGGAAAGAACAATTAGTTCCTGGTATTAACATCGCGTAATTTATGCACTTGTGAATACCATTTGCTTTAAGAATTTCAGTTCCATAACGATGATATTTCCACGCGCTTCACTTGGGCTAAAAAGTGGAATAAAATAACGGTTATTGCTATTAATTTTGCCGAGTAAATCGAGCGTAAGAAAAAAAATCTACCATCGTTTCAAGCTTGTAGTACGGGCGGCCGAGATGCCAGACACTTCAATTATTTTCTAACTATCAAAGCATGGCATCGATAGCACCATCATCCCACTCCTTCGCTCTTTAACGAAAAACAATAATCCCCTCGTCGTCGCCAATTTGGTATGAATTGTCCCGAGCAAATCGGTTTAGAAAAGAAAGTCCAGCATTGTTCGAAGAGTGTCGTACGTCCGGCCGAAATGCCAGACTTCTTTTGTTCTCGTGCTACCAAAGCATGCCTAATATATCACCATCATCAAAGTTATAATTAAAATGTAAAAACAAACTTAGACCACCACAAAAAATGAAATATATATATACGCGTTAAGCGAATTCTTCGATCAAACATACACCGAGAAGAAATTTGTCATCATGTTAAACGCTTTATAAAATATACACGAATATGCGTTAGCTACTACACGTGCGATATGCAATCCGAGATAATACAATTCAACTATTAATTTTTCTTCACTTTTTGGTTCAGGTCAACATACGGTATTCATCTATGACCGACCCAAAATTGAAAACAAGGTTATGTTTCGTTAAAATTCTGTCGGTGAGTAAGGACATCATTCTACTTCAAATTGCATGCGTTACGAAAGTTTAGCCGACTATATTAACTAAAGTTACCACAACTTATATTATGCATAATGTACCGGTTGTGTCCTGCATGAACACCAGAAACATGTTTAGTACTATATCTAACTTGACAAGACTGACCATGTATTCCGCTCGTAACTTTCGTCAAAAATAATTTACGACGAGATATAAGAGGCAAGTCCAGAAAGTAAGTATAATTTATTCACACACAAGTCCCTTGCAAGTATATATTTCAAAGTCGCACATTCGCACTTGTGTTTCTTCCCATCTTGAGATAGCCATAAAAAGTCTAACTCTATTTCTTAATCGTCAAGTTAACGGTTCGTAATCGGCTTTAAGTTGATGTAAACAAAATGGCCCGCAGGCAGTTTGAGATAAAGGGTTTTGAGTTATAAACATTAGATCACTCGTTAAATGAATCGGCAAATCTGCTAAAGTTTATGCATTAAAATTAATGAGTGGTAATTATAGATAAATGTATATGTATATGATATGAAACATGATAGTGCGATCATAATAAAATGTAGAGCGATTCCGGAGCAGCATCACACAAACCAAGCCCTTGAATTACTGCTTTGTCAAGGAATCGTTACGGAAAGCTACCAAAGCACAACTTCTGTTCCCGATAGATGGCGAAAAATCGTGATTGAACAGATCTCAAGGAAGCGCACGTTATTTAATTTGGAAATTTTTGTGGAGGAACGAGAAGAGAGGGTCTCTAAAAAGAGACACGCAGTCTCCTGGTAACAGGAGGGGAGCATGTTATGCCTTTTGGTACCGGAGCGATTTTGTTGATTGAAGTCATTCCTCGGTGCACAAGAATCAACGTTTCCTATCTTTGTTTTTGCGAGACACGGAGAAAGTTGCCTCGTGCAATTTAAAACTAAAGGCTCGGCAAGCTGACGTAAACAGTCGATCTCGTTTATGACAACACAAGGTCTCGTTCTTAAAAAGTGGCTTGAAGAATTTTCATCTAGCTGAGATTGGAGCATGTAGGAAAAAACCAAAAAATATGTATCTTTCTAAACAAATTCTAATTGGAAGGTTGTTCAATGATTACGCTGATGGGAAAGGAAATGTCTCAAACATGTTAGAGACTTTGTTGCAATATGAGAGATTCCTTAAAATGTGTGGGGATACGATAAACGTAGATCAAGATATGCAAAATTTATATAAAGTACGAGTTAAACAAAAGTGCATTTGTTTTGTTTACCTAGGCCGGTCCAAGTCTACACTCGGACCCGTCTCGTCCATAAAATGCACGAGAGTAATACTGAACTTAAAAAGTAAACTCATGTCCCCAGAATTTTTATGTGCCGTCCGTTTCACATATGATACGCGTTTAATAGCTTGGGAGCATATTGGCAGATTCTACAATTGATGCTCGCACTGATGTTTTTGGAAATCAAGGTATATATATTTAGGTTTGTAAATATATACTTAGGTAAGACGCGCTCATAGTAATATTTTCTGATGCATTTTATTTTTATAATTCGCTCTTTGCGAACTTTTATTCGTGGTAACAAAATATTTAGGCGTAACACGTCTTCTATTTTCGCCTTAATTTTAAATTTTGTTAAAGCTCTAGTAATACATGAACTCTGCTAATAAACCTATTTGGACAAAGCGGGAAACACTGACTAGGAATTTTATATATCCCATAAGGGTTTGTATGATGCCGTTTTCAAGCATCTCTTATACACAGTGATAGTAAGGATATAAAATACAGAAAAAATAATAGACGTTTCTTTAATACTTTTATTATTTTGAATTTCGTATTCATTTACATATAAAATGTATAATTTTTTATTGCTTTTAAACATTGAAAATAAACACATTTACATTGTGATTTATGCACATTTTACATTGACACTAAATAAAAGTCTGGGCCCACCTCGGATTATCACCGTTTCAGCACATTAAACATAAAAACAAAAATATCAGAAAGAGTGAAATCACGAAAGGAGCAGACCTGTGCATTAACGTTTACTGGGGGTGGCATTTATTTTCTCCTACAACAATCAATAAGAGAGACGTTAACTCGGCGCTAACGCGACATACATCGAATTAACGGACGACATGTTTGGGAAGCTTTTCCAGCTTCAATAAAGCATTTCCATAAAAGCTTACAAAGAGCTTACCTCTATAAGTTGCTCTGCATTTCATGATGTCACACATGCCCTTGAATAAATTTAACTGATAAAGGTGAGGTTTAATGCATGAGTAACAAAAATTCACAAAAGCGTATTCATAAATGTAATGCATAAATACCTTAAGACATCTTTAAATACTTGGATAAGACACGTATGATAAAAATGAATTATCCCCGGAAAAAACAAACTAAGCAATATTTGCTTCTCGAGACTAGTTTCTAACTTGAAAACAAGCGGTTAATTTGGAATCAAGGACTCCAAGCAGAAGCATTTTTTGGGGGATAGCTCTCAACTAAGAACAAGCCTCGCGATGTAAGAGCATTTAAATAGTGGCTTTTTCTAGGAAAGTTACTTATTGCGAAATACGTGTTCTATCCTGACACTTAAGCCTATATTTTGGGCTTTGAATGTGGTTTTACACAAATGGACTGAAAACCTTACAGGCGCAGATGTTTTCTCTTTCTTGAACTCGCGGTTAAAGGTTCGCCAATAACAAATTATAGGAAAATGTTGACCCGAAAGTAGTGGAAAATGTATAAATCCTTTTCGTATTCGTATATTTCGCCTAACTAGTTCCTTGTAGGCACAAGTATAAATAGCTTAAAACTTCTCACAAACGGGCAATACATATGCAGCTTTTTAAAGGTTTTGATCTTCCAATCCTGAACCTACCAGTCAAACTACGTGGTAAAGTTTTGACTCCCCAATCACATCCCAGCTTGAGGAGTGCATTCCCGCTGCTTTAGTGACAAATCTGGCTTTGAGCTGCTCGCAGTAAATCAATATTTGGGTAACCAGCCAGCGTCGTTAAGCTTAAGGAGAACTGTATATTAGCACCTTTTTGTTTCTTTTAATAAAACGATTTCTTAGTAAATGTCTAAACAACCTTTTAATTATGCTGTCTGGCTGATTCCAGAACAGAGATCACAACTTTACATGAAGGGGCGTTTTTAAACTATAAATGCATTCCTTAAAATTGTTAAAATAGCATAAGCCACAAGTATTCATATGAATAAGCTTCTGCCTTCCTAGTACCCTATAATGCGTTATGGTCTAATTTTCTCTACCTTCCAGAAGAAACTAACAAGAGATTTGTATAAATATGTAACTTATCAAGGTACCGAATACCTGGACGCGTCTGCTACGCTTGATAGCCTGAAACAGGAAGTACGAAAAACATCATATGAAAAATACGATGCTGTTCTCCTATTAACAAAGTAAGTGGGGTGGTTAGTATATTAAAATTTGATTATAGAGAAATTCATAAAATGCTGTTATGTTGGATTCCTTTAGACGCCGTGAAGGTTTACGAGTTTACCAAGCGAATGTTCATTTACTCATGCTTGCTCTGTTGTTGTTGTTTTTTTTCAGGGTGAGTTTTTTCCTAAAAACTCTCCAAAAAACGAGAGAAAACTATGAAATCTTCATGATTAAAAAAGTGTGAGGCAGGTTTAGAAAATAGGCATAAATAATAACTTTAGTCTTCTTCAAGTTTGTATAAAGCTAGACAACGTCAGTACATTCCTTTATTTTTTATGACTTTCAGCTTTCAAATGTCATTCTTGCATCGAGCATACACAAGCATAGACCAATCACCTAACTAAAAAGCAAAAAAAAATGAAATGAACAGGAACCTAAAGCAACAACAAACAAAATATTACACATTTTTGGAAACCGGAGACGACGGACGAAGAAGGGGACAACACACAAAACGTCTCAAACGCAGCGTTTGAGACGTTTTGTGTGTTGTCCCCTTCTTGTCCGTCGTCTCCGGTTTTCAAAAATGTGTAATATCAACCAGCTCGCCTGCCTACTTACTTTATCTTCAAACAAATTATTGCGTTTAAACTGTTCGATTTTTAGATTATGAATATTTACCAACTGTAATCAGTGAAAAAATCAGAATTCTGAAGCTCCGTATACAGGCGTTAAGCGCTTGTTTGTTCATCTTGAAGACCCAGTGCATCTTGAAGACCGGAGCACGGCCACTCGATTTTGGTTCCCACTCCACTGGGAACAGCTTGTGAAGCAGCTCCCTTTGAAGAAGGAAAGGATTGCTCACATAGTGGCCGCAGTGAGGGGTGCTGAACCCGGTGGTGCTCACCAACGTGACAGTAATTTACGGCCAACGAGAAGGAGCGGCGCGAGGGTCAAAACACCGCGTCGTTAGCCGCTCTGCCGAACCCCCATTGGAACACTTTTCTTATAGCCGCGTTTACATGAATGCGACTTATGGTGAATTCGGGTGGTCGCCTGTCTTCTTTGACCTTGATTTAGCAGAGCGCCCCCACCTCGCCACTAGAGGTACTCGAAATTCTTTTCAGCCAACCACAGCTGCTGGGCTCAGAGCGCTCTGACATTCCCAGACAAGTCACGGAAGTAAAACTTTTCGACATTGGTAATGCATAAAAAGAAAAAAAGATTTTACAAGGTGCGGTGGACGATTGAGCAAGATTTACTCTCGCAACGTGATGAAATAACGGTTGTGACGTAAATTGTTTTACGCATCGGTATGGTAAAAAAGAGAAAAAAAGAAAAAGCAGTATGTGAATTAATTTTTGCAGAACGGAACGAAAGCCAATGCTTGGAAAGAGTTGTCAACTCATCGCGTTTTCAACAATGAACGCGCTGCGATAGCGGTCAAGCGTTACGGCAGAGCAGGCAAATATAAAATGTTTAATAAACCGCATTTTTCTCATGGCGAAACATCGTGCAAGTAGGATTTAGCACATATTGCCATGTGACACAAATCACAGTGCATTATATTCGACTCTGGCTTTATTTTAAGACACAAACCTTTGAACGCACTTTTACCAAACCTGAACATTTCTTGAAGCGACCAGAACACCCGGTCGAACAGCGGCGAGGTCTGCGAGCTGTTTCTTCGTCGGTTAGGTTTAGCGGATTCAACGCCGTGAGATGAACGATCTCGTGAAAGCACTGGGAATGCTTCACACGTCGATTTTTCCTCTTAAGGTCACAAACGATTGTCATGCCGTGCGTCGTAATCCTCGCACCGTCGAAAGCACAAGCACTTTGTAGAACCAGATATCAATGGCCGTCATGCCGGACCTCGCGCACCACCACAGACCACTGCCAGATATCGTCAAAAAAACCACGGGATCACCGCCCAAGTACCCCGTCACGCCTGCGTCGCTCAGCACTAGCCCCGAGAGCGAACACAAGCGTCGCTGCGGTCGCCGCGCCCTGATTGGGTGAGGTGTACCGTGACGTCAGGGGGAGTACTCCGCTCCGTGACCTCGCATCGGCTCGCTTCCCAGCACCGGTTTCCCGGTTTGGCGTTGTGTCCCGGAAGCTCTTCGAGGACCTGGACTTCGTGTACCCGGTGTACAAGACGTTGGGTGAGGCCGATATTGACGTGCTTCGATCCGTACATTTTATAAGCCTGCTTGCCCTTTTTGCCTTTAAAATTGGGTTACAAATCCCGAAAGCTATCGGAGGAGGGAATTCCGCCGATGAACCTCACCGTCCGTCCACACGACACAAGGCAATCTTGAGAAGGGTCCGTGAGGCGGTGGCGCAAGTGTTTCAGACGCTGCAATTCTGTTCCTTGCCTGTTCATGATTTAGGACGATATTACATCCCGCTTTCAAGGCATTTGAAGTGGCATTTATATCAAGGGCCTTTGGGTGGTCGGCAAATTAGCTCGCGACCCCGACTCTGCGCTTCCACTCTGCATGCGCTGGTTCGCAGATGTCTTAAAGACCCTGCATCTGATGATCTTTGAAGTGCTCGTGAAACAGGGCTGTTTTACGTAAATGTAGCTTATTCGTGAATTAATTATATAGTTTGTGCACGTATGCAGGCATATTTCTTAAAAACGCAACATTACTGAAAATTAGTTTTTTTTTTTTTTTTATGGTAGCAGCAAAAACGGCCGAATTGCGCCCAGTTGCCTGTATGCTATGTATCGAACTGCCCAAAATATGTACAGCAATGGTGCCGTAATTTGGAATGTTTATACTTTTTCCTGAAATTCTTTATTCCAGCCTTGGGTATTAAAAAAAATACACCGTTTAGTCTGAATTGTCATTTCCAATTAAAAGAGACACTGCTGCAGGTCCCCAAAAGCTTCCTCAGCCTCCAAACTCCCTACAGCTGGACTCTGATATCAGAGGAAAACAGGAGTAAAAGCAAGCATTCGAACGTCTGTCCAGTGGTAGACGCAGCACTAGCAGCAGAAAATGTGGAACCTGTGAAGGGCGACAGTTTGCGTGAAAAAAGCTTCTGGTATTTTAGCTTTAGGGCAGTTCGATTTAAGTAAAGTTTCAATATTAGGGCTTAAGGAACTAATAACGAGCTAGACATCTTCGCTTACGTTTGTTATACATTTCTTGAGGGTTGATGTAAGTAAGTCCACAAATACCACCCGTGTAGTCCTTTGAGATACTATCCGAATCCAGCAAAGGTTAAATGCGAGCAATGTATATAATAAATGTTCCTTGTATTTTTACTTTTCTCCTGCACTTGGGGTGTCTCACTTGTGATTCTCTCCCCATGGCCCAGACTGTATTTAGCATGTTGCTCGAGGAGCATGCACCTTTTCTGCTTCGGCGATCTTGTTTAAAAGCAGAGATAAAAAAAAATAGTATACATAACCTGCCAATTCATTCAGATCATCAACAGCATTTATTGTGCGAGATGTAAATCTATAATGATGCTGCTGCAATATTGGCCATATTTCTTTATTTTCATATACCAGCTGCGATTCATGCGTTGCCTGCGCTGTCAAGCATGCTTAAAATGTTCGTTGAAGTTTCACCTGTAGCTACAGGCCATACCTCAATAAAGGCACATATAAAAATTTACACTTCCTACGAAAACCACGCCAAAAAAAATTAAATAGAAACGAGCGCGCCGGCAGCTAGCGTCGTCACAGCCTCCACAGACCGAGCGGGGCGAGTCGGGGAAAAATTCTCTCCTCGCCGTGACGTCACCCCGGTTCGCCGTAAGGGGGCGCCACGCGAACTTCTCGGGGTAGAGGGAAAGGCGCCCTCGGATGAAGCAGCCGATTAGGCCCAGAGCACGCTTTCCACCCCCCAACATTGCGTGCTCTGGAAAGAGCGCTCGAGAGCACGCAGAAAGAAGAACGCGAATTCGCCATCTGTCGCATCGACACCAGTTGTCGCATTTAATGTGGCCATCTAAACGGCATAATGCGATAGGGAAGCCCATCGCATTGATGTCGTTTGACGTAGGTGGATCGAGATGGAGAATGCGCATTCATTTAACTCATGTAAACGGACTCATCGAATTTCAGAGCCGGGAGGATCATGGGAAGGCGCTCGTTTCAGGAGCGTGTAAAGAGCTGAGAACATGGTGGTGGCGGCCGCGGAGAGCGGTACCGTGTGGTCGACCGCACTTTTCGCCCTAAAAGAAAGGCCAACTTTTATTGCCATGCCATCATAAGTGAGAGGAAAAGAGCTGAGCAGCTCGGTGAGAGCGGCCTCCGACCAAGCTTTCCGAATCACCACTTGCGCCCCAGAAAGAGTCCTTAGAGGCTCTGGCGCAAACAGGAACAGCGCCGGGAGCTCCGAGCACTCACTGGTACTGCCGGAGGAGCAGCTTCTACCTTGCTGCATTTCCTCCCTGCGCCGGAGCCTCTGAATCCGGTCGGAGTTGCTTTGGTCTGGCGAGGAGGAGCGCGCGGCGTCCTCCGAGCGCTTGGAAGCGACCTAGCCCGCCATGGTTAGCCCACCCACGTCGACACTGTTTCAGCCCGGCCCGGCCCGGTGCATAAAGTGCTTGAGTTGAAATGTTTCACGTCTTGTAAGTCGCACAGCATCGAAAACAACGGGCACGATCTTTACGCTCGTCGACAGAGCATCCGTACGCGAAGAAAAAGCACCGGAAAGCGTAGTCACTTGGTACGGCTGGTACCGCTCCATGCAGCTTTAGCTTTGAGATGTGACACGGCGTGTTGCCATTTTCGCGTGGGATTTGATGCGCATCCATGGAAACGTTGACACTTCGGCTTCATTCCACTAACGATTGGAGTCGATGCACTCATGTAAACTCAGCTTATCCTCCTGGCGAAGCGGCAGATCGTACCCGAGCTTGAGATAAAAAAAAAGAGGACGATGGGCTTGCATTCCACTCCATCGTTCAATGGATTACCGCGGATGCTACATGTCATGAGAGCAAGTTCAATGCAGCGTGCGAGTTTACGCACAAAAAAAAAAAGCTAAAAAAAGTA